GTCCTGTAGAGATCGCAGATCTCTTTTTCAAGGGAGGCCTGGGCCTGAAGGCAACCTATTGTAAATGTTTTTGGGGGGGTGGGGGAAACCGGAGTACCCGGAGAAAACCCACGCAAGCACAAGGAGAACATGCAAACTCCGCACAGAAAGACCCCAGGTCCGAACCAGGGATCGAACCCAGGACCTTCTTGCTGTGAGGCGTCGGTGCTAACCACTGAGCCATCATGCTGCCCATTTATTAAATAGAGTTCAGTATGTTTTCATGATTAAATACAGCAAAATAAACTATTTCAAAAGGTAACAGATCTTTGTRATACTTAGTTTGTTTAATAACTTTGCTGTTCGGCCCCTGAGCTGTTGGTCTACATTAACTGTGGCCCCTGAAGCAACTTAGTTGAATATCCCTTAGCTAAAATTAGTCAAACATGAGATAAAAGCTTTKGTAAATGGACTGAACTTACAGAGCGCTTTATGAAGTCCCTCCGGACCCCAAAGTGCTTTACATTTACAGACATTCACACACTGATGATGGTAAGCTACATTGTAGCCACAGCTGCCCTGGGGCACACTGACAGAGGTGGGGCTGCCATGGACTGGTGCCACGGGACCCTCTGACCACCATCAGTAGGCAAGGTGGGTGAAGTGTCTTGCCCAAGGACACAACGACTGAGACAGCTGGACGGGGGGATCGAACCAGCGACTTTTTGGTTCCAGGACAACTCCCCTAACCACTCCGCCACAGTCGCCTCATAATTATTGCTAAAAGTTCAAATATGTAAAACACAAGTTGACATTAGCAAAGTAGGAGCAAAAATCTTAAACTAGCAACACAGTGACTCAGTAAAACACAAAGCAAAAATTAACAGTGAGTTAAAAGCTAGCAACATTATAGATCAAAGTTAAAATTAGCAAAGTGGGAGATAAAAGCTTAAATTAGCAACACAGTGGCTAAAGGCTAAAACTAGCACAATTAAAGTTCAAATCAGTAAAACACAAGCTAAAATAGGTGCTTGAGGTTTAATCTAACTAAAATGAACACAGCTGTAGTTAAAAACTTAGACTGTGTTAATATGTTAGATGATTTTCCCCCAGACTTTTTAGTGTACTGTAGACGTTTCAGCCCTCTTTAATGATTTACTATTTTAAAAAATTGCTATTTGCTAAAACATTTCAGAAAGACTTTTTATTAATACACTTTGATGAAAACAAAAAGGTAGATAAGACAGGGTAAATAATTATTAGTGCATGTATGCTGTTTTTAATATTTTGGTCTGACAAACACAATCTTATTTTAATTTAATACCATCAGTGTTTTATTCACGGTGGCAATTTTCACCATAAATACTTGCATATTTTTCTGTTTCAAAGCTCTTTTATATGTGCTTCTTTTAGAGACTTTCAGTATTTTTGCAAACAGCATTATTCTGCTTCAGCAGATATAAAGAGGATTTGTGAGCAGAGAGTAGGTGGATAATTATTTGTGCTCTCATAGTCAAGTGTTTTAATAGAATAAGAAAGACAAGGATAAATTAAAATATTTGTGCATTTGATAGACATCGGGACTCCACAACTCTGCTCATCAGATAATCAGGGTGAACGGTGACTCAGTGTCGTCTGAACATTTAAAAAGTGAATTTCAGTCAAAAATGTGGCAGCGTTTCTGTTCCTGCCTCCTCCAAACACTCAAAACAGAAACATGAGTCCGGCTTTGAAACAGATGCAGCTGCAAGTGAAAGGACAACCCTGACCTGAGCCAGCTAATGAGATGAAGCTGGAGGTGTGCTGTTACACTCTCTCTGCTCAGACCCAACACACCTGCTGTCTCATGCAGGAGTGTGTGTRTTTTGAATTCCTGATTCAAGGAGACACAAATATGCCTGAGTGAAAGTGTGTGTTAGGTTTAGTGAAGTGTGTGCTGGGATTTGAAAGGGAAAGTGAGATGTCAGACATCTGTTTCACCTCGTCATGCTGAAGTGAGGCAGCAGGAGGCTGGCTGTCCCCAGAGTCAATAATGAATGAACAAGTTTGTCTTTCTCTGCACTGAAGTTCCTGTGTTGGATTTCACTGCAGGTTTTCTGCTATTTTTTTTTCTTTTTCATCACTGAAAATGGAAACGATACTCTTTA